CTAAAAACTTTTTTGACCATCACATCTATTATCGCACTACCGGTGGAAGGTAAAGATTTTAGAGTTTATTGCGATGCTTCACATTCTGGTTTGGATGCAGTATTGATGTAGGATAAAAATGTCATAGCCTATGCATCGCGTCTAGGGATGGGCATTCGGTTATTCGGTTTGGTTTCGGGGTTTATTTTTCAGTTTTTTCAATTTTTGATTCTTGTACAACGTGTATCGAACATCAAACCAAATTATTTCGGTTCGGTTTTTTTTATTTTGGTTCGATTTATGTTATTTCGGTTCGGTTTGATTTTTGTTAGTTCGATTTTTTTGTTATGGGTCTGCTTAGTGGGATTATAAAATTTTTAAATTATACAATTTTTTTGTTTGATTTTTCAGTTTAATGGGATAAAAATAGTTACATTGCTAGGTCATATCAGCTGCAATATTCTGTAAAATGCCCTATAGCTGAAAGCTAAAACATGTACATTTCACACTTGTACCACTGCTGTTATAAACTAATGCAAGCTGTAAAATGCAAGTTGTCCCTAAAGAAATATACTTGTAACCGTAAAATTCAAGCTATCCCTAAATTAATTGGACATTTATTTTAACTAACAACAAAAAGCTCACCTCAAAAGTCAAAATTGTCATACTGCCAAAGTTTTTAATTAACAAAAGTGCATTATACTAACAAGCAACAATTTAACAAGTGATAAAACTTCACTACATTTCACAAATACAATGATCAATTGATCATGCCATTACACCACAACATAATAATAATTTAATAAGTAACAATAATGCACCAATGTAGTTTCTTTCATGAGACCACTTTCAAGTTTCAAGTGCCAACAATAACAAACATCAATAATGAGCAACAAACAGTGTAGCTTCTTGCCTTCTTCCATGAGATCACTTTCAAATGCCAACAATAACAAATAACAAAAAATGAGCAACAATGTTGTTTCTTGACTTTCTTCCATGAGACCACTTTCAAGTCTCAAGTGCCAACAAAAATACTAACAAAACTTAGTACTTTACGTCTTTCTTCATTGTCTTGACTCTTGGACCTTTTAAGATAAAAACAAATGTTAGAATACTACTTTTAAGATTATCATTAAATAAATGACGTATTGAACTCACCACTATTAAATACTTGAGACTTGCAAGTCAATCATAGATCAACAATGGAAGAGTTTCTTCGACTATTTTCCATCTTTATAAATAAGAAAATCAAATATGTCATACAACACAATAAGTATTTTATTTTCCAAAAACAAATAAAAAAATAAAAAAGTCTTACCAAGTTTAATTTTTTCAAGAAACTCCAAACTTTCTTCAACACAAATAGACTTAATTTCTTGTCTAAGCCAATCTTCGACACAAATAAGGCATTGCACACATTTGGGAGTCAATGAACTTCTAAAGGGATCAAGAATACGACCACCGGTGCTAAATGCACATTTCGATGCCACACTCGACATAGGAATAGCCTATACATCTCGAGCCAACTGTGAAAGTACAGGAAATCTAGGAGAATTAACTTTCCACCAAATCAAAATATCAAAATTCTCAAATTCAGGCTCTTGGTCTTCAAGAAGATATCTATCCAACTCAGATTTAACACCTAAACTTCCAGAATCTTTCTTTTGTTTCTTCATGTAAAACTTAGTTCTCAAAGAATTTTGTTTTCACATTTTGAGAAAGACCACAAGTAGATGAATCAGATAAGTCAGATGAAGATGATTGATTTTTAGAACCTTTTGCATACTTACTTACATAGATCGCAAATAGTTTTTTCATATAAGCTTCTACTTCATTATTCACTATTTTTCCCTTTTCTTCCCCAAGTAATTCTTCAAGAGAAAAACTAACATACACAAATTTATTGCGAAGATCCAAAACAGAAACAATAAAAAGCATTTTGTTCATCTTCTCAGGAGTACCCCAATATTTCTTGAACTTTTCTTTCATCCCCGAAGCCATTTTACTCAAATCAACTTCATCACTTGCCATACATACTTTCAAATATGCATCAAGCTCACATATATCCTCAAAATGAACATTGCAAGTAACATACCGTGAACTTGAAACTTTCAATGTGAGCTCATAAATTTTTTCAAGAAATTTTGTGACATTCCTCTCATTAGTCCAATCTTCATTTTGAATTGAACCTGCAATACTTCTATCTTCACAAACATCAGTAGCAAGAAAAGAATTAAAATTACCATCATAAAGATCAAACATTTCAAAAGCTTTCTCAAACTTTTCTGCCGTGTCCAACATCAAATAGGTGAAATTCCACCTAGTAGGCACATCTAAAGACACCATTTTATAACTTACTATCTTTTGCATTTCAATATATTTCAAGAAGTTTCTTGTCCTTGTAGAAGATGATCTAACATATTTCACCATTTGTCTCACCCGTTTGATAGAATGACCAATTTCTTTCAAACCATCTTGCACAATTAAATTAAGTATGTGAGCCATACTTCTCACATGAAGATGCTTACCATCTATCATATTAGTTTCCCATATATCTAATTTTTTGGACAACTCTAAAATCGCCACATCATTTGAAGAGGCATTATCAACCATAACACTAAAGACATTGCCCAAATTCGAATCAAGTAAACAATTACTAATACATTCAGCCAAATGATCACATTTATGACTAGTGATAGGACAAAAATTCAATATTCTTTTATGAAGCACCCAGTCCCTTTCAATAAAGTGAGCAGTCAAACACATATAATTGATTCTTTGCACCGAAGTCCATGTGTCTGTTGTGAGACAAATTCTTGCTTGCATTTCTTTAAAAGACTTTTTCAAATCTATTCTCAATTCACCATAAACTTCATAAGAATTCCTTGTTATGGTTCTATGAGAAGGAATTCGAAACAAAAGTTGGACTTTACTCATAAACTTCTTAAAGTCTTCTTTTTCAACAAAACTAAAAGGTAGTTCATCCAAAATTATAACTCAACTAAAGCTCTCCTAGCTACCACTTGCTCAAATTTCCAAGTCTCTACCGAAGAACTGTTACTATGAATATTTAACAATTTTTGAATACCAGGTGCAACAGGCGGGGGATTATACACTTTACATCGGTTAGTCAAATATTGTCTCAGTCCACTTGTTCCATTTCTAGTTGTATTAGTAGTATAGTATTGTTTACGATATAAACACATTGCTTTAACTAATATACCATTTTCAAAAAAAAAATCAAAGTGTTGCCAAACAGTAGATCGAGGATCCATTTATTTTTTATTTTTTTTTTACCTCTGTGCCAATTGATGCATCATTGCTATTAGTATGTGTATTATTCGTACAACCAGCCAATACTTATTTGACTTTGATCAGCCACACCCATATTTAATTGATTTTGTTCAGCCATCTTTATATTAAAAAAATATTTCACAATGAATTCACACACGAACTAAGTAACTAGTAACAAAAGCAAAAATAAAAAAGAAAAACGAATGAAACTATGGAAGAAGAAATATTCATTTTGAAACTTTGTAACTTAAAATGAAAGAAGAAATATAAACAATACCTATTGGTGGTCGCCGGCTGCTGCGTGATGCTGGTCGACAGTTGTTGCTGCGTGGTGCATGTTGGTCGATCGGTCGATGGCTTATTGTTGATGGCTGGTCATCGGAAGACGTGCAAAGTACCATGGAAAGTTGGACCGTGGAATCATAATGTGTGGCTACCCTGCTATATCTATTCCTAATTTCCTATTCTGCTAATTGCTAAGTAATTAGAAAAGTAAAAGGGTAATGTTTGACCTAATTAATTTTTGCCTATTTATTATTTGATATTAATAATATTATAAATATAATATAATATATTTTGGTAAACCAAAATACCGAATAGTACAAAATCAAATACTGAAAACTAAGGCTGGCAAACAGACAGGGTTTTGACTGGTCCGGTTCCCGTACCGGTAAGTCTGGTACCGGTTGAACTGGTAAGGAACCGGTCTTATAGGGTACCGGAACCAGTGACGGATCCAGGATTTAGAGTCCGTGGGTGCCAAATAAACTTATCGATTAAATTAATTTTATATTTAATTAAATTATTCGTCTTTTCGATATATATCATAAAGCGATCAATAAAATATAAATAATAAGATATTACAAATTCACACTCCACACTAAAAAAATGAAGTTAACAAATTTAAAACTTTCAATAATATTACTATTTACTAATATTATAAATATTCAACATTCATTTACAATTGTCCTCGACGAGTTTTCATATTCTGAAAACGATCGATAATGACATCATTACTAACATTTATAAACACATCACACTCTATGTAACATACTAGACAATTATTTAAATATTGATTACCAATACTATTCTGCACTTCATTTTTTATGTGCTTCATTGACGAAAATGCTCTCTCAACAGTTGCCGTAGCAACAGGTAAAATCAAAGTCAACTTTACAAGTAAATAAACAAGTGAATAAGTCTCCGCAAGATTTGCTTCAACCAATGCCTTCGCCAAATCACGAATTCCTTGCAAGTTGGAGAACTTGGGATTACCACTTCGCATATGAATAATGAAAGTATCGAGTTGATAGCTCAAATCTCGAATTTTTCCATCATCAAACTCACTTGGATAACACTTTGCTAAAGTCATGATTTTACCTTTGTCAAAATTAGAGAAAGAATTGACCGGATTCAAGCTACCCATCCCAAGAAGCAAATCACTACTCACTACATCAAAACGGTCATTAAGTTCTTGAAGTTGCACATCAATGACAGCAAAAAAGACTTCAACACGCAAGTGGTGCGCATAACTAACACCCGAAGACTTACGTTTTGACTTTCCGGGAAAATAAGACTCATCCAACTTGGGAATCAAGATATCATGCACATCACAAAATGAGGAAACATCATCCAACAAAGATTCCCATTCATTTTCCCTCATCTTGCAATCTTTTCTTTGTAATATTAAGAAACTCCACGGCATTAACAATATCTTGATCTTTTTTTTATAAAATCTTACTCAACTCATTTGACATTGCCAACACTTTCAACATCAAGTGAAGCACAAAAATAAATTTAAATGTTTTAATCTTTGTCAAAAGATACTCCGCTTGATTTCTATCACTTGATGTGGACCCTTCAAGTTCAATCACTTCAAGAACATGAACAATAGATGAGAAAATAACAATAAAGTTATCTAAAGTTTTGAAATGTGATCCCCAACGAGTATCACCTGGTCTTTGAAGCCCACGTTCTTGATGTAATCCTTGGCCTTTTTGAACTTCACCGGATTCAAAAAATTGCTCTAACTTTTTGGCTTGGTGATCACGAAGTAAGTCTCTACGCTTGAAAGATTCTCCAACAACATTCAACACATTACTAACATGATCAAAAAATTCTTCAACATCCAAATGTTTTTTAGCAATAGCCACTAGTGTTAGTTGCAATTGATGAGCAAAACAATGAATGTAATATGTCGATAGACTATCTTTCATAATCAAAGTTTTGAGACCATTTATCTCTCCTTTCATATTACTTGCCCCATCATAACCTTGTCCACGTATTTTGGATGGACTTAGTGAGTGAACGGAAAGCAAAAAATAAATCGCTTTCTTCAATGAACATGCCGATGTATCACTAACATGGACAAGACCAATAAATCGTTCAACTACTTCACCATTCTTATTAACAAAACGCAAAACAAGAGTCATTTGTTCTTTGTGAGAAATGTCTTTTGACTCATCAACTAATATACCAAAGTAATCTCCATTCAAGTCCCCAATTATTGCTTTCAATGTTTCTTTTGCACAAGCATTGACAATATCTTTTTGAATCATAGGACAAGTCAACGTATCATTTTGTGGGGCATTTTCCAATATCACTTTTCCAGCATCCGGATGTTTGTCCCCGTGCCATCGCAAAAATCCTAGAAAGAAGCCTTGATTAATTGAAGATTCACTTTCATCGTGACCTCGAAAAGGTAATCCATATTGCAAAAGAAGTCTTGACACATCAATTGAGGCTTCCAAACGCATTCGATACTCATTTTTTAACTTTTGAGAATGCTTATCAATAACAACTTGAATTGATTGATGATGATTTGACAAATCTAGCATCTTGTTGAAACATTTGTCATGAATACTATTAACATCACCAACATGTTTACGGAATCCTTCAAGTGCCCTATTCCAACTCCTGAAACCCATTTTTGTGTAAAACTCACTTGTACTTTCATGAAAAAAATCATCTTTGAATAAATAACAACATAGACAATAGACAGAATCTTTCTCCACGCTATACTCCAACCATTTAGAATATGGACCTTCAAACCAAATTTTACAAAATTGACGCATTCTTTTTCCAATTTCAGTTGGAGGATACGAATCCATTTTTGGTCTACAAGGCCCTTTTTGAATATAATGTTTCCTCACTTCATCCTTTATTTGAGGGTTATAGTGAGCAATTGGTACCCTTTTTCCTGGATCGGCTTCAAGTGAATCTAAATTAAGGTCATCTATAAACTAGAAGGATTGACATTCGTACTAGAACTTGCTTGAGAATGGTTAAATTTCACAAGAAACTTCTCCATCTCAATTCTCAAAACTAGAACACTTTCCTACAAAAATTAAAATTCAATTCAACTCACAATTAATTCAAATTTAATAGTGTAAGGCATAGTTAATTCAAATTAACATGATTCATGTCACACAATTTTTAACCAATAATGTCTTACAATGTTCATTAGAAATTTAGAATATCAAAGTAAAATCAAAACTCTTGTCTAATATGAAATCAATCATCACTGATTAAAACTTAAAAGAACTCAAGAAATAGAAATAAAAAAAATCTTACAAAAATAGAATTGCAAACTTACAATCTATAAAAAGTTGTGGATGGATGGAGAAAAGTGAAAACACTAACACCCAAATGAGGCTTAGCCGCTGAACGGAATGCTAAGACGGGCGGGGGACGGCAACAACAAGAAGTGATTTGGATTCGGAATGGGGTAATGAAAATTTTGGAAAAGTTGAAACTTGGAGGAAGAAGGGTTTGGAAATAGTTGAAGAGAAAGAGAACACTTTTAAGTCAAAGGAGTAATGTAATTAATTTAATTTAAGTCAATAACAATTATAAAAAAATAGAAATAATGTGCAGCTGTTTTCCTTAAAAAAAGGGGCTTGGGGCCTTTTTTTTTTACTTAAGAACGTCAATAACAATTATAAAAAAAATAAAAATAATGTGCAGCTGTTTTCCTTAAAAAAAGGGGCTTGGGGCCTTTTTTTTTTTACTTAAAAACGTCAGCAACATTTTTTCAAAAAAATAGGTTCAAATGGGATTCGAACCCGCAACCTCAACCTTCTAAAGTTGCCCTCCTACGATGGCACCACAAGCCAATTTTGTTCTGCGGGTGGCAAGCTTTATATTTATATAAATATTATGTATATATACCTATGTATATATAGAGTTTCCGTCGAAGTTCGGGGGTGGCGTGGCACCCCCAAGGCCCTTCATAGATCCGCCCCTTATCGGAACCGATATCGAAACGGAACCCGGTTTTTTATCCGATTGATCCGGTTCGATAAGAATTAATTCTTGTCCGGTTGAATTGGTTCAACGATCACTTCCATTTAATTTTTTTTATTTTATTTTCTTAATTTGAACGTTAGTATTTAACCATTGGGCCCTTTTAGCCGTTGGGGTGGTGCCCAAAACGGCTCAAAACACCCCCCACCCCTCTCTAACCCCTTAACACTATAAATATACCCATATTCTTTTATTTAAATAACAAATTCACAAATTATCTCATTAACATCTTACAAAATCTCTCAATTTTCAATCTCTCATAAATTCATAATTATTATTTTGTGATATTGACTTGGAGTTCGGATTTTGGAGATTTATTTGAAGTAAATCAAAAACTTCAATTGGCATCTCTCAATTCCAACTTTGGTTATACGTCTACTTTTACGTAGACGTTTTGTACATTCGTTCCAACTTTAATTTTTTATTTGTTTATTAATTAAGTTATTTTAATTTTTTTTGTTATATTATCTTGCTTGTTTTTCATAATATAATTATTTTAAACTTGAACATGAATTTAGAAAAATATAGTGGTAAAAGATCAATGTCGGAAAGAAAAAATAATAGTGGAGGAGGAAGTAGTTCTAATTCTAAAAATTTGCCACCTCCTAGATTTAGAATTAATACTAATGATTATACTCATGTTGATGAAACTTCTTTTACACGAGACTCACAACCTATTGAATTTAATTCCGAAAATGAAGTAGATCATTAAAACTTTAAATAGATGTTTTACTAATTTTGAGGAAGAATTAGATGAGGAAGTAGAAATAAATGAGGAAGATGATGAGACCCCTACCTCTACTAGTTCAGCTACCGAATTACCGGCTCTTTATCTACTTTTTCAAAGATCGTTGTACGTGTTAAAAGATCTTTAGTATGGAAAAATTTTGGTACAAAATGAGGAAAAAATTATTGTTACTTGCACGAAATGTAAATTGATCATGAAACATATAACTACGGGTACACAAGGGGGAACGGGACGACCAAGAACACATTTGAGAAAATGTTATAAAGAATTTGCTCGCCTAGATGATATAAAAAGGGCTAATAGAAATGAAATACCCATACCTGAAAATTCTATGGGAGTTGGAGGTTCTAATATGGTTCAAAGTCTATTAAATATGACCAACCCGGCTAGCTGAATCACACACCGCACATATAGTAAAGAAAAAAATCGTAGAGAATTAGCTAAAATTGTTGTTGTTTGTTGTTTGTGGTTTGCCTTTTTCATTTCGAGAATTGTATAACCCAGATTATGAAGGTATTCCAAAAAGTACAATTAAAAATGATCTTTTTAAATATCAAAAAGAATATTGTCATTTTCTTCGTTGTTTATTTGTTTATTATGATGGTAGATTATCTATTACTTCTGATATGGGACGTAGTCCTAATGGTAATGATTATTTTACAATTAATGTCCATTGGATTAACGATGAATGGAACATGCAAGAATGAATATTAAGGTATAAATATGTTGAAGAAACTAAAACCGGTTCTTATATAGCAACAAAAATAAGCTCTATTTTACAATTTTATGAAATATGTGATAAAATATTGAGTGTCGCTCTCGATAATGCTTCTAATAATTTAAAAGCAATTGATTATTTAAAATGTAGACTTTGTCCAATTGATAATGATTCTTTTCATATTAATTTTGCCGCACATGTGTATAATTTGATAGTAAAAAATGATATTTCTCAATTTGAAATTTCTTGTGAAAAAATTAGACTTGCTTGTAATTGGATTTTTAAAGCTAGAATTACAGAATTTAAAAATCGTTGTAAAGAATGTGGACTTGAATATAGAAAAGTTCCAAAAGAAGTATGCACTAGATGGAATTCTTTATTTGAAATGCTTCAAGTTGCTTATATTTATCAAGAGCCGGTACAATTAGTTTTTAATGCTAATAATGCGGACCCAAATTTGAGAATTGGCTATGAAGATTGGGAAAATACAAAAGAACTTATTGAATTTTTAAGTGTTTTTATAAAGCAACAAATGCTGCTTCAGGTCAATATTATCCAACTATTTCTTCTGTTTTAGTTAATATTTGTGCTATTTCATCTGAATTTGCAAAATATAAAGGAAAAGATCGATTTGAAGATTCCCTTGCTTTTATGATTGAAAAATTCAAAAAATAATTTTTCCCTATTCCTCAAATCTATTTGATTGCTACTATTTTCAACCCAAATTACAAATTAAAAGGTGTTGAAAGAATGGTTGAAAAAATTTATGCAAATTTAGAAATTAAAAATGATGAAACTCCTAGTGTTGAAGATTGTAAAAGTAGCATATATATAAAAGCTAGAGTTATATAATACATATAAATCTATGGAAAAATTATTCCAATAGTTAAACCTCCATCTTGTAGGCCTAGAAGTGATGATACGGATGATTGGATGGATGATTATCTTGAGCTTGAATCATCTACTAATAATGATTTTCATTTATATTTCAATCAGGCACGGGAAAAGATTAGGCATGAAGAAGGACAACTTCAAGCTCCAATATTAGTATGGTGGAAGAATCGTTAAAATCAATTTTTGACCCTTGTTAGGATTGTTCGAGATGTGCTAGTGATTCAAGCATCATCGATCGCTTCGGAGCAAGCCTTTAGTGCGGCGAGATTTATGATTGGAGATCAACGATATTCATTAGCAAAGGATAGTTTGGAAATATCGGTGTTGTTTCGAAATTGGGTCAATGCCGAAAGAAGAAATACCGAACTACCACAATTAAAGAGTCAAATAGAAGACAAAATAGATGAAATATTTGGTGATAATAGTGATGATGGCATGGAAGCAATGGAAGAAGAACGACAAATACAAGTTGCAAAAAATGTTTCTTTTGAAATGATACAAAAGTTACGAAAAGATTTTAAAAAAAGTCTCAATTGTTAGTAGTTAGTACTTAGTACAATAATTAATATTCAACACTTAGATTATGTTCTCTTTGTCTCTTTCTAATATTTGTATTGTACAATTTATTTATTTGAATAAATATACGGCTATTCGCCTTGATTTTCTTTTAAAATAGTCTTTTATATTTAATCCAACTATCCAAGGCATTTTACAAATTAAATTTTCAATTATTTTAACATTAGTTTAAACTTTAAACTTTAATATAAAATTGAATTTTAAGGTTTAAACTTTAAATTCAATATAAACTTTAAAGTCAATTTTAAACTTTAAATTCTAATTTTCAATATAAACTTTAAACTTTAAAGTCAATTTTAAACTTTAAAGTTTAAACTTAAATTCAATTGAAACTTTAAAGTTTAAGGTTTTAAATTGAAGTTTTTTAATAATATAATATTATATAATAATTAAAGTTTATAAAAAAAAATACCGGTACACAATGATCCGGTAAGAACCGATTCCGGTCCGGTCCAAACCGGTAACTAAGGGACTGGGTGGAACCTTTGGGAATTTTCGGTAAAACCGATTCCGGTAAGATCCGATTCAGGTAAATAAATCCGGTAACGTGTCCCTGTTCCAGTAAAACCGGTCATGTTGATCCGGTATTGTCCAATTGTCAGTCTTATTAAAAATCGAATCGAAAAATAAAAAAATACGAAAATATATACCAAATATCGAACCGAAAACCAAAATATCGAAACCGAAATACCAAAATAATTTGGTTCGATTCGATGTTTCAATTTTTCGGTGTTTATGTCCACCCCTAATCGCGGCAGTTGAAGGTGCATGAGAGAAATTATCCAACGCATGATTTGAAATTGGCAGCGGTAGTATTTGTTCTTAAGATCAGGCGGCATTATCTTTATAGTGTTAAGTGTGAGGTGTTTACCGATCATCATAGTTTGCAGCATGTATTCATTCAAAAGGATTTGAAGTTGAGACAGAGAAGGTGGATAGAGTTACTTAAGGATTATGATGTCACCATTCAATACCATCCGGGCAAGGCTAATGTAGTGGCAAACAATTTGAGTCGAAAAATGGTAAGTATGGGTAGTCTAGCTTGTTTGAGTGTAACCAAGCGACCTTTGGCAAAGGAAATTCAGACCTTGGAGTCTAAGTTCATACAGTTGGGCATCTCAGAAAGAGGTGGGGTGTTAGCTAGCATCGAAATAAAGGTCACATTCATTGAGGAGACAAAGGCCAAACAATTTGAGGATGAAAATTTGAATGAACTTAAAAAGAAGATTGGGATTGGTACGACATAAGAGACCACTCTTGATGCGGAAGGTGTGCTCAGTTTTAAGGGAAAGATTTGTGTTCCTCGAGTTGATAACTTGATTCAGAAACTGTTGACAGAGTCCCATGGGTCGCAATATTCTATTCATCCTGGTGTGACCAAGATGTACCGAGATTTGAAGCGAATTTATTGATGGCCGGGAGTGAAGAAAAATATAGAGGAGTTTGTGGCTAAGTGTCAAAATTGCCAACAAGTAAAGCATGAACATCAAAGGCCTGCAAGTTTGCTTCAGAGAATGCCAATTCCATAATGAAAGTGGGAAAAAATAGCCATGGATTTTGTGGTTGGTCTTCCCAAAACTTTGGGGAAATTTAATTCTATATGGATAGTGGTTGACAGATTGACTAAATCAACACATTATTCCAGTAAGAATAGATTATAATGTTGAATAATTGGCAAAGGTTTATGTGAAAGAGATAGTGAGATTGCATGGAGTGCCCCTTTATATCATCTCAGATCGTGGTACGTAATTCACATCCAAGTTCTGGAGAAAGTTACATGAAGAATTGAGCACACAACTCACTTTTAGTACCGTTTTCCATCCACAGACGGACGGGCAGTCAGAGAGAACTATTCAAGTATTAGAAGACATGTTGAGGGCATGTGTAATTGATTATGGAGGGAATTGGGATAAATTCTTACCTTTGTATGAGTTCTCTTATAATAATAGTTATCACTCCAACATTGATAAGGAATCATTTGAGGTACTTTATGGGAAGGGATGTAGATCACATATAGAATGGTTTGAAGCTGGAGATGTAAAACCTTTGGGGATTGATTTAGTGAAGGATGTTCAAGATAAGGTGAGAAACATCCAAGCTAAGCTTTTAGCGGCCTAGAGTAAACAAAAGAAGTATGCAGACCATAAGGTAAGAGACATGACATTTCATACTGGTGAGAATATTCTTCTTAAGGTGTCACCCATGAAAGGGGTGATGAGATTTGGCAAGAAGGGCAAGCTTAGTCTTCGTTACATTAGTCCCTTTGAGGTTCTTGAATGTGTAGGGCCAGTGTCTTATAGATTGGCTTTATCTCCTAATATATCGGGAGTTCATCTGGTATTTCATGTATCCATATTTAAGAGATATCATGGTGACAGGGATTACATCATAAAATGAGACTCAGTGATGTTAGACAAAGACCTTCAATATGAGGAGGAACCGATTGCAATTCTTGATCGTGTTGTCCGGAAGCTTAGGACCAAAGAGATTAAGGCCATGAAAGTCCAATGGAAACATCGTCCAGTTGAGGAAGATACTTGGGAAACCAAGAAGGACATGCGAGACAAGTATCCTCAGTTGTTTGTCGATTCAGGTACTACTTCATTCCTTCTTTAGCCTGTTTTTTCTAAGTTAGTTACTCGGGGTCGAGTGATGGGTAAATTAGTATCTATTGTAACGACATATTCCCATCGTTATAAAAAAGCCAATGGGGAAATTTTTTGGGCCGGAAAACTTTTTCGTAGTAACTTGGAATTTCCCAACCTATTCCAGATTTGGATGAAATCGGAGTCAGTAAGTTCTAAGGAAATCTGGTAACAATTGGGTGATCTAATTATGATTTTGATCACATGAGTAAGTAGCTAAGACGTTAAGGAATCTGTGCGACTTTACTAAATTGAATTCGGGCGAGTAGAACTCCCAAAACTGGTATTAGCGTGAATATATAGTTTCTGAGTGTCGTTGGTTGAAGGTGTGTTGTGAAATGAGGGAATTGGAATTATTAAATTTTCTCACTATTTCTTACAAGCCGCTATAGCAGGAATTTGAGCCGCCAGGGCGGGGCCACTGTAGTCGGGTGAGTACCGTTGTGGCGGGGCAGACGCGACTTAAAGTAGGAAATAAACCCCAAAAATATTTTATTCTGCAATTTTCAAACTTGAGAGCTATGGAACAAACCCATGAGTCTTATTGACAGTTTTCCACCATTCTTGAGGCTAAAGATAAGGTTTTCACTTCCCGAATCCATTTTTTGATCCGTAGAACCTAATTCATTGGGTTATTATCTATGGGGGTGGGGGGGTTTGATCTGGAAATTATGATGGAAAAAGCCTTAATTTGGATATTAGGATCATGGATTTGATCTAGGGTTGATAGGATTATTGGTAATTCGGGTAATTAGTTATTGTTTATCGATTCCCGTGTTATTGTAATTATTTGTAGACCAAGAACAAGCGAAATGAATTTGGAAAGGGAAGAATCAAGTTTCTTAAGGGATTCAAGCTTGTTTCGAGGTAGGTGATGGTTGTGATTTCATGTTTTGTGTGATGTATGATTGTAATTGCTTCATTATGATGCATGTATGTATGCGAATGTTGCATTTTTATCACACTAATTGTAAATGAGGATGATTGAATAATTGTATGCCATGAATCATGCCTTGATTGTATGATTTGAGAATATACTTGTGATTGTGGATTGTTGAATGGATCAGGTGTTGCGTTCTGACACACTAACTTGGATCGGTTGCCACGTTCCGGCATAAATATGGGATCGGTTGCCACATTCCGGCATAAACATAGGATCGGGTACCACATATCGGTACACCAACTGTTTGTGTTTGGGTTCCATGAGAGGACCAATGACCTGTTGTAAATGTATATTGTTGAGAATGTGATAATCATTATTGTACATGTTCGGTATTTCAATATTTTTAATGTTGTATTTACTTGCTTATGTTGCACTTAGTGGGATAGCCGCATGATCCTGCCAGTACATTGTGGTTGTGTACTGATATTGCACTTGCTCTTTCTTTTGTTGAGTACAGGGCATCTTCAGGCGGCTATTGACAGACCTCGTCTAGAAGATCAGTGATCACCCATCGAATTCAAGGGTGAGCCAGTTCTTCCGGGCTGCCTTGAGTTCTTCTTTTTGTTTAGTCCATCTTTTCGGACTTAGACTAGTTCTTTAGACTTCTCTTGTTTAGTTTGGGTTGTACCCATTTCTTTAGACTACGGTTCGTTGTTAGAGTTTTGGTACGTTGACTTTCAGGTTCTAGGCATTTAAATTTCGCAAATTCGTTATTAGATCTTTTGGAAGTTTATGGGAACTTCAGTATTTAGTTATTTAAACCTGTTTCCGTAGCTTTAAATTGTTTAGTTAGACTGTAGTAATGGTTCTCCTACCGGAGGGTTAGTGTGGTGCCAATCATGACGGTATGGGTCGTGACACACACAAACTTCCACATAGGCTAAGCATGACAAATAAGCATCATACGAATTAAAATAGGGTGGCCAACACTTACCAACTTCTAAAACACATACTACAACTCATTTCATAGTTAACTTCCTAAGAATAGGTTAATTACTCACCCTAGTCCAAAAGAGGGATAGTCAAACCTACCTCGATGCTGAAACTTCACTCGAACAACTCTATCGGAGCACTCCTTCAACCATATAATCACCGGAACGATCGTCAACTATATATAATGGAAAGAGTTCATCAAAAGAAGTCCAATGATTTCCATAATTATAGAATTTGAAATCGAAAGGGTATAATCAGATTTTAGTTAAAAGTTAAGTTCTACAAGCCAAGATGAATTCGTGGTTAAAAAATCCATTAGAAACAAGCTAGAAACAAGCTCCAAATCATAAAAATGCCAATTTCAAATCTAATGAGGGAAAACCCCAAAACCCAATTGAAATCATGATTTAAAGATGTTTTTGGAAGGTAAAAATTGAACAATCCGATAAGGAATTGATAAATACACTTACCCAAATTAATTTCTTCAAGAAAAAATCTCCTCTCATAAGCTCCTAAATGAGTGAAAATGATGGATATGAGAAAAAGAGGAAATTTTCCCAATTATGCACTGCCAAGCCATTAATTCAGGCTCCGCAAACGCGACCTCTGCACAGCCCCAACTCCGCAATCACGCCTCTGTAACCCCTTTGACTCTCTGTGAATGCGTTAGATCGCTCGCGTTCACTCCTCAATCTCATTTCTCTCTCTGAGAACGCGCTAGGGGGCTGCAATCACGGTCCCCTTTGCAGCAAACACCAGAAAATAACAAAAAAGCTAAAGTTCAGGTTTTTGATCGGATCCTTGGAAATCGTTGGAGTCCGATGAAAATAAATTGGACATGCTTCCCCCACTAAATTCGATATTCTAGACTTAATAAAATAGTCGAATTTTCAAAAAGAGGTCAAACTACGGAATTACCCTCTCAGACCACTTTTAAGGCTTGAAACTCAACTTCTCACTCAAACATAAAAAATTCAACTGAATGCCTCAAAAATCTTACTAATCACCCTACTAGCTCAAATTCGACGTTCCAAATGCAATGGAAGTGATGAAATTTCCATCCGATGCTCGAAACTCAAAATATTGACCAAAGTCAATTCAATAAAAAATTCTCAAACCAAGAGAGATCAAATCACCAAAAACACATATGATTTCAATGGGGACCACACCAACGATTTCCGTTCACAAATTAAGAATGAAAGTCCTAAGGAAAGGGTAAAATGAATATTTTATAATTAAAAATAAATTTACAAGAAATGATTCATTACAATTGCTTTAGCATGTTTTACAGATTCATCATGTTCATTTATTACGCTTATAATACATTAACTTACACACTCAGTACATTCAAAGTACTAATCACATACTTATGTCTATATTGTTTGATAATACAGGTTCTAACGCTCATTATCCAACTCGCGGTTAGTACTATCTCCGACCAGCTAGCAATAATATTGGTCAGTTCTCATCACTTCGAGGACAATCTTTATCTTTCTTTCAATATGTTTATTTAAGCTTTTAGACCGTTGGAGTTAGCTAGGGATTTGTCCTAGCAACACATATTAGTAGAGGCTTTCAGACAGACAATTTAGATTCAACTATGTGTACTCAGAATTTCGTCTAATGATATTTTAGATTATTTTTGTGAAGCTCCGCAGACAGTTACCTTGTTTTACTATTTCATATTAATCTTAGTGTCATATTATGTCATGAGGTTAGTTAAGGGTCACTTGTTTCTCTAAGAATCGTTTCATGATTAGGGATAGTCTCAAATCTTGACAGTTTACCACACTTCATTATTTCAAGTAAGATCAATTCAAATTATGTCATGCAATGCATATAATACGAATATGATATATTGGACAATGCACCAATACACACACGATTCTTTTGTTGGTTGGTCAAGACCCATGAAGAACTCGTGAGGTTCATCAATTGCTTCCAATTCTTATTTGTAAGTCATCGGAGAATAGGAAATAAAAGGTTGTTATATCTCATAAGTGTATCTCAATACTTTCAGATCATGCTCTTTGTCCATAAAAGCATAACCATATGATCCACGAGTGTACTACAAATCTGATATGAGAAAGGAAACAAATGCCTCATCTAGCGAACAATATAAGTCATGCGTAAAAATAATCAATATCTGACTTCTACTATCATGACACTGATAAATATATAAGTGCTCATCATACAACTCATATGGGAACCCCAACACCCCTAATTTTCACATAAATAATTAAGGAGAAATGGTTTGATGGACCCGTTTACTTGTATGAGTTTGTATTCTAAACTCTCTTACTTTACTCTAGACATTGTCAACTAGACCCTTAAACTTATTAAAATACAATATTTAAAACCCTTCTTACCATCGACCAAACCTATGTAGCATAAATATTGTTGAGTTGGAAAAATGTGTGAATACACTCTCTTGCAAGCGCGTAAATCACTATATTATATTTTAAAATATTATTTCTTTAATTAAAAAACTTATTTCTTCATTAACCCTCTCCCACCCCACCCACCTTCAATTTCTCTTCTTTTCCAGCACTCTTCCTTCCCCCTAACCTCAACTTTAATTTCTTCTCTTCTTCTTCAACAAAATCACCCACCACACCTATTCTCTTTTTTATCTTCAAAATCACCCAACATACACTTTCTCCTCCTCCTCCTCCTCCTCCTCTTCTTTGCAACAAATCAAAGCTCCGCCCCTAATTTCTTTTTTCATCCCTCATTTTTCTAAATTTTGAGTGTTTTTTATTAAAAGTTGAACCATTGTTTGTGTTAGTTGAATTCAAAGAGGAGGCAGGATATGGATTAATGTAAAGGGTGATGGTGCACTACAAGAAAAGTGTTTTTTAACGACCATGTCTTAACGTAGGGACATATATGAGGTCGTAAAAAGTGTATTTATAACGAAAAAATATTTTTTTGGTCGGTAGAGTTAGTTTTTAATTTATTATAAGCGAGGGGATAAATATTTAGTCGTTATAAAATATTATTCCGGTCGTTAAAAAAGTTATATATATATATATATATATATATATTGTTTTTTCATTTTTTCAGCATTTATTGAAGAGAAATTATATTTGGGTTAAAAATAAAATTTACAAATAACTTAAAAAAGAAGGACGCGGTAATTACTTGTTCCCTCCAATTTATTTAGAGACGTCTTCTTCTTCTGAAACCCTCACGTTTCTCTTCATCAACGGCACCAAGGGTTTCAATTTTCTCTGTTCATAAGAGAGAACAGAGATAGCTTTGAATCTAAAGAGCAGTTCTTCATCTTCTCTCCTTCAAACAGTGATAACATCAAATCTACAGAGCAATTGAGAAATTCCTCCTCTACAAAATCAACTGTAAGTGATTGTTCTCTTCTCTCTTTCAAATCTCTTGATCGACCTCTTTCTATTCTATAAAGTTTAATTGGTTTTTGTCATCTGGTATGCCGTTTTGATCATGCTTGCTTTTGGTTTGTGAAATTTAGTTTTAAAAAGAACTGGTGTGGCAAGTTTTTCTTAAGCGGCAACATCAATTTTACATCCATCTAACTTCAGCTAATCAGTCTTTGATTGGTAAGACTGTTCCAGAAGTCATACAGATAATGTCTTGTAGATCAAAGGGGAAGCTCGTAGGTTTTTAGGTATAGTTAGGATTACTAAGATTGTTTTTGGAGTCCCATATGTTGTCTCATGCTTGCTCTTTATTTGAAACTGGATCAAATTATAAATTAAACACGATTTAATTTTTAGCGGCAACACAAACTTTTAAAATCATCTAACTTGAACTGATCAGTCTTTGTCTGCAAGTTGTTTTTGTTTCTAGAATTCAATTATAGATGAAACCGAATGTGACGATATGATGTTTTGCCGGCAACATCAATCATCCATTAACTACTAGGAATTTCCCAGAAGTCATCAAGAATATGTCTTATTGATCAAATATGAAGGTCGTAAATTTTTAGGTATGATTAGGTTTAATGGAGATGTTCTCTGTTCTTATCCAATCAGATATACTTTTTACAAAATACAATCTTTTGTGTGTTGTACTTATCAGTTATTTTATATGAGAGCTAGATTTAATAAGTTGACAAAGTTCTAATCTATATATAATGAGTGGGCTGTACAGAGTAGAAAGTGTTAGTGTTTCTAATTGTCATTCTCTCTGTTAAATACTTAAACTTCAGCTCTTTGTACTCCATCAAGTTCAATTTGTTATTGGTGTTTTATATGTTATAAACAGTAGCTCCATATATAGCTATCATTGTCTTCTTTTTAAATCTGCTCCAGTGTTTCATTTTGATCTTCAATAGCGCCACAAACACGTGCTTGTTAGGTAGATCTAGTCTGGTTCAATTCTTCACTGCCTCTCATACACCTTGTGTCCACAAGCAATCTGAAAATATATGTGTTGCATCCTCAAGCCAATCTCCCTCACATAGACAACATACACTGTTATCACACCCTATTCCCAGTTCCAACCTTTTTGCCTTGGTTAGCAGTCGATTACGCATAGCCAGCCATAGTATGAACCTATGCTTTGGCAATGTAATCTTGTTTCATATTAATTTAGCAGTTGGTAACTCAGGAGCAGGTCCCAGCAGGTCCAAATAACCCCTAGAAATTGAGTAGTTCTTGTTCTCTGTAAGACAGTAATGTTCGTCCCTATACCAATGTGTCATTCTTATCTTCAACTTATGTAGTTGTCTCCAGTACCAGCAACTATTTGGACTTGGGGCATGTGACCAAAAAGTCTCATTGTTGTTCATATACAACTCATTCACCCACTTTACCCATAGTATGTCCTTCTTCTCCATTAATTTTCATATCAACTTTCCCATTGCTGCCATGTCCCATAGCTTACAACCCTTAATATTCAAACCTCCTTGCTTTTTAGGTCGACATATTATGTCCCATGCCACAAGCGAGACTTTTCTTTTTTCCTCAGTGCCACCCCAAAGGAACTCCAGAAATTATGCAAAGAAAATAAGACAAAGTTAGTGATCAACAACCTGCCAGCATATGATAAATGTTGTGTGTACACCGCACGGATTTTCTCTGTTATCTTCAAACAAAGCTGGTGACATTCTATTTTACTCCACTTTTTAGGTGTTAGTGGCAACCCCAAATACCTTATGGGAAAACTTCCTTCAGAGAACCTTGAGACTATTTATGTTTTCCCTTTTTCGTCTATATTGATGGGTTAGACCTTAAAAGATGAAACATATGTGGAGTGTATAAGTGGAAAGTTATTTCTTGTTGGCTATATATGCTCTACTCCTTCACCGTTTTTTTTATAATTAAAGAATTTTTTTGTTAATTTCCAGTGAGCTTGACAATATGAGGACAAACTACACAATTATGTCCATTCTCAGTATCCTACTCTGTCTGAAAACAGATTCAAAACTTTGAACAAGTTCAAAACTTTGAACAGATTCAAAATTTTGATGATAACACTATACCTACGTTAAACTAATACAAAATATTCATAGGGAGCAAATGAAACTGAATAGTCGATGGATATGCTTCTCTTCTGTACATATTGAGAACTTCATCTGATGGAGTAGTATCTCTTTGGCAGATGCTTTTGTTCTAAAATATTCTCGTAAGATCTCTATCCAGAGTGCATAAATTGAAGTTGCAAAATCAGCCTTTATAATAATCTCTTTCGAATGGTTACCTCACCAGTATTGTTGTACCCAATACAATTTTAAGCTAAATTCTTGGATTACCCTGTTCTATTTTTGCCATCCTACTTTTTTTACTGAAATACTTTTGATGCAGATTCTATTGTCTATAGGTAATATTATGGCACCTAATAAGAAATGGATGCATCTTATTCATAATAGACTTGATGATGTTTATATACATGGGGTAGAAAGCTTTCTGAATTATACTTTTACAAGATTGAGGGAAGCAAATGAAATAAGATGTCCATGTGTCAAATGTTGTAATGCAGTTTCTCGAACACGAGAGATTGTTAGATCACATTTAATAGTACATGGAATAATTTAAAATTATACCTTTTGGTATCACCATGGAGAGACAGCAGGTGAGGCAGAAGAATCAGATTCTGCACTTGTAGATGATGACGATAAAATTGGCGAGGATAATGAGGAGGATGAAATACATGACATTCTCAGAGATTTACATCCTGTTTTTAATGTAGATAATATGAATAAACGCAATGATGACGTTCTCGAGGAGGAACCAAATCCTGAAGCAAAAAGATTTTATAGTCTTTTAAAGGATTTTGATCAACCCCTATACGAAGGTTCAAAAGTTTCAAAACTTTCAACTTTGGTGAAATTGCTTCATATTAAAAGTATTGGTCATTGGAGTAATAACTCATTTAATATGTTATTGAAGATGTTAAAGAAAGATTTGTTGCCTGATGAATCAAACTTGCCAGATTCATATTACGAAGCAAGGAAGTTAATTAAAAGCTTAGGGATTTCATATGATCGGATCGATGCATGTAGGAATGATTGCATGCTATATTGGAAGAATGACAAGTTTGTTGATTCTTGCAAAATTTGTGGCGCATCTAGATGGAAGGAGGATAAACATAATGGGGAAACCAAATTTAAAAAGGGGAAAAAGATACCATACAAGATCTTACGCTACTTTCCTTTAAAGACAAGACTTCAAAGATTGTTTATGTCCTCAAAAAGATCTCCTTTAATGAGATGGCATCATGAAAACAAAGCTAATGATGGAATTATGAGGCACCCGGTTGATTCAAAAGCATGGAAAAAGTTTGATGAACTTCATCAATCATTTGTTGTGGAGCCTCGTAATGTTAGGCTTGGACTTGCTAGTGATGGTTTTCAACCATTTGGATGTTCTAGAACTCCGTATAGTATTTGGCCTGTGGTACTTATTCCTTATAACTTACCACCATGGTTATGCATGAAGCAGGAAAATTTTATTTTGTCAATGCTTATTCCTGGTCCTGGAAGTCCTGGAGATGCAATTGATGTTTATCTCCAACCTTTAATTGATGAATTAAAGGAATTATGGGAAACTGAAGTTTGTACCTTTGATGCGTCCACTAAACAGAATTTCACATTGTATGCTGCTTTATTATGGACCATTAATGACTTTCCAGCTTATGGAAATTTATCAGGTTGGAGTACAAAAGGAAAATTGGCTTGCCCATGTTGTAATAGAGAAACTTTCTCAATAAGATTGACAAATGGTAAAAAACAGTGTTATATGGGTCATAGACACTTTCTTCCTCTTAATCACAAATGGAGGAATGATAAGAAGTCATTTGATGGTACTGTAGAGAGGAGATTACCTCCAAATACATTATCTGGTGATGACATACTTGATCAAGTGGTTGATTTAGATGGGTTACCTCTAACTAATGATCAAAAGAAGAAGGTTAAAGTATCACATGATAGTAGAGGTGATAATTGGAATAAGAAGAGTATATTTTTTGACTTTCCATATTGGAAAACTCTGTTGTTGCGGCATAATTTAGATGTGATGCACATTGAGAAGAATATATGTGATAATATTTTGGGAACAATCTTGAATATCAAAGGTAAAACAAAAGACACCTTGACCAGTCGTTTGGATTTGCAAGAATTGAATATCAGGAAAGAATTACATCCAAAAAGAAATGGAGAAAAATATGAGTTACCGACAGCATGTTTCACATTATCTCCTGAAGAGAAGCATAAGTTTTTAAGCTTTTTGAAGGATTTAAAGGTTCCAGATGGATTTTCATCAAATATTTCTCACTGTATCAATATGAAAGATCACAAAAACTCAGGATTAAAAAGTCATGATTGTCATGTTCTACTTCAACATTTAATCCCACTTGCCATACGTAGTATGCTATGCAATGAAGTGTGTGAGCCGCTAATTGAGTTGTCATTGTTTTTCAATCTGCTTGGAGCAAAGTGCTTAAAACTTGAGGATTTGGAACAAATAAAAGCACAAATTCCTGAAACTCTATGCAAGTTATAAAAGGTTTTCATTCCTGCATTTTTTGATGTCATGGAGCACTTGCCAATTCATTTAGCTAATGAGGCTATGATTGGTGGACCTGTTCAATACCGCTCAATGTATCCAGTGGAACGATGGTTATATTTTTTGAAGCTTTTTATTCGTAATAGATCTTGCGTTGAAGGGTCTATTGCAGAGGGATATATAGCAAATGAATTTACAACCTTATGTTCAAGGTATTTGCATACAATGGAAACAAAATTCAATCTCTTTGAACGAAACTATGATGGGGGTGTTATAGAATCCGATGGAGGTTTAATGATCTTCTGTCAACCTGGAAAAGCTTTAAAAGGCGGCAAGCCACACCTACTTGATTTAAAAGAAATGGAGCAAGCCCATATTTATATTTTGAAGAATTGTGATGAAGTTCAACCATTTCTCGAGTAAGTAATGACTTTTCCAAATAATCATCTTATCACTTCTTCAGAATTATTATTAAATCCTTATTTCTTCTTATGTTTCCTCTTCTATAGAGAGTTTTCTCAAATTCCAGGTGATTCCTCTAAAAAAAATCTGATAGGCAATTCATCAGTTGGTTTAAAGAAAAGGTGAATACTATTTAAAAACTATTATTTTCAAATCATATAGATAATATTTTCTAAACTATGTTCTTAATCATGATAGATTGAAGGATTATACAAACATGACGATAGTAAGAAAATGGCGGATTTACTCACATTATCACGTGGTCCGATGAAAAATGTTACAAAATTCAAAGGCTACATTATTAATGGATATATATTCCATGTACAAGATTACGATAATGGTTTGAGGACTCAAAACTGTGGGATAGTTGTTTCTGGTGAGGCTGGTGAAGAAGATAGAATCATTGATTACTATGGGGAACTAACAGAGATTCTTGAATTACAATTTGTTGGGGGGAGACGACTGGTTTTGTTTAGATGTATGTGATTTGATGTTTATGACAATGAAAGGGGAGTTAAAATGGATGAGTATGACTTTGTAAGTGTTATCCCCCAACGGTTTTTGAAAACTGATGAGCCTTTTGTATTAGCCAATCAAGTATCACAAGTATATTATGCTAGAGTCATTCTAATAAAGGCTGGAATGTGGTGCGAAAGTTTATGCCTCGTGATTCTTTTGATGATGTGCAAGAGAATGATAATGATTTTGAGGATTTACATGATTCAATTGATAGAAAAAGAAAAAGAACTCATACAGGTTTGGAATAGTTGATGCTTATAGTTTTCAATTACTTGTTTATATTCTGAATCTTCTTTATGTAAATTTGATCAGTTGAAGTACTTAGGGTGAATAAAGGTTGATCCAACAATAATGTCTTTTTATTAACTTTGTACAGAATGAACAGAGACAATGTGTAGTAGCATTTAGCTTTTGTTTTTTTACCCTATTATTTTTATATTTGTTCTATGTTAATATGAATCCTAAAAGATACTTAGCTAAAAGTACTCTATTGTTGGATTTTATGGTAGGATGACATGAATCCTTCAATATTTAAGAAGTCCGAAATGGGATCAAGTTCAAAGAATTTTAAGCAATCATTCCTTCCACCTGGTGCTTTAGCTAGGGGAAGAAGGCAAAGCCTCAAATCGATGGGCTCTGTAAGAGTAACTGCTGAAAAGAGAAATTTGATTGATCAAACAGACATAACGCTAGAGACTCTGAGAAGCAAATCAGGTATTGTATTTTAATGGATACTGTCATTTCTAAATAGTAATGTGGATTTTCATTTTGTCCTTGCTCTCTGATCTAGAATAGTTCTGAAAGATGTTTTGTTTAAGTTGATTCCAGCTCTAACATTAGGAAAGTGTACTTTCATAGTACTTTTGAATAGGTCTAAATGGATGTTTGTTTAAGTAGATTAATTTTAGGAAATCTTGTATGGAGAACCCTCAGAGAAGAGCTCACGTTATTGATTGTACTGATTAACATTTTTGAATTGCAGAAAAGGAAATCGGACATAACTTTACATATGGGGGCTCTGTTAAAGGAAGTATTGTAAGAGGAAGCGTCGAAAAGAGAACAATGGTTGGAAACAACAAAGGTTTAAATGCTGAAACATATAATCAAAATGTCATTGCGCAGAAGACTAATGTCGTCCCTCCTGGTTTTGATGCACTGGAAGATGAAACTTCCTTTCCTAATGACGATCTTGAAGTAATGCAACAGACTGTGAGAAGCAAATCAGGTTTCTAATCCTATTTCATTTTCTTAGTATGAAAAATGTATTATTGTTAGACGATTAAGGTTGTATAATGTTTGAATTGTAGCAAAGGAGAATGGGCAGAACATTACATCGGTGTGCTCTGTTAAAGGAAGTATTGTAAGAGGAAGCGTCGAAAAGAGAACAATGGTTGGAAACAACAAAGGTTTAAATGTTGCAACATACTTGCTTTGAATTTGTGTTATTTGACTTTGGTCTCCAGCAATACAACAAAACATACCTTATATTTATTAACCAACCATTTAAATTGTGTATCATAATGTTGCTGATGTGTTGTTAATATAGGAAACAAGTACGCGAAATGCAATGAACAGGTCTAAGTTGAGTATGCCTCATCGTACGGGTAGCAAGCCGATTAGAGAGATAGTTTATGAATTGGTACGTATGTGATTCTTCTAAACCTATTAAGAAAGGTCCTCTTCATTTCAAGTATATGACTTCTTGTTTGAATGTTAAGGGAGGCAAGCATGGTAATCCACCGGACATGGAGACTATCTTCTTTGAGACTCGTAAGAAGGACAACAAGCTTCTCGAACCTAAAACCAATCAAAAATATGTATGTTCATTTTAAATTTTTATTTTACATACTTTTACTTAATATATTGCACTATCTTTAAATTTTCTTGTATTTTACAGGAAGAAATTCAGGAACTACTACAAGTTGAGCCATCACTTACTAATATTGAGGTAGTAGAGAGATGCTTCGGACCTCAGAGCAAGAGTTATGTTGTTGGATTTGGTGGCGGGATTACCAGTAAAGATTTGAAAGGAGGTAGCTCCGCAAAAGCTGCACTGTTAGAACAACTAAATGTGAGTAGAAAGGAAAAGGCTGCACTGTTAGAAGAACTGAATGCGAGTCGGAAAGAAAATGAATCAATGAAAAGACGCATGGATAACATAGAGAAGAGATGTGAAATGTTTGAAAGTACAATCTTTAGAGATCCTTCATCACCACCATCATCAAGTGAACAAAACACTGATTGAATCATTTTCCAGGTTAGTAAGCTTGTTACTCTGAAACAAAGTATTTTTCAGTTTAGTAAGCTTGTTAACATGTATAAGCTGACCATATCATGTTTCCATAGTTGAACACCATTGTATACAATAACTGTAATACAAGGGACAACCTTCTGTGGATCTATATAGCTCATGTAAGAGTATATCTACATAAAAAGTGCTCATAGACAGCATGACATTGACAACAAAATTTCCAGATTTCAGGACTCATCAACCAATTAGAGAGAATTCACAAAGTTTTGAATGGCTTCGAAAATATTCCCATTGTAGATCACAGTAACTGCTAAACTCCTTAGTTTTCATACTATCCTTAGTTTTCATACTAAAACAGGTTTTACATTTATTAAGAGAGGAGCATTTCTAATACATGTTGAAGTACTTGCACTTTGGAAACTCACTATGCTTGAACATTTTTTCTACTTTTCCCATAGTCTTTGTCCCTTTGAAGTTCGAATACTCGTCAAAGTCCAATAAAAGAAGATGAACTAGTCCTTGGAAACTACAAATCATTCCACACTGGACTAAGATGCATTTGAATGTGAATACAAAAATAAGGTGACTAGAGAAGTACATTATGAGCAGTAGCAGGAAATAACTTCAACATTTATGCACCTGATTTTTTTTTTTACCAGACCTAGCAGTGCAGAAATGTGCCCAGCCAAGTTAGCACACTGGAGAAAGTATTATCAAAATTCTTTACTATACAAGTCATCATTTCCTCTTTCAATGTTCTTGCATTGATTAATTGTTTCTCTTTTTAGAATGAGTATTGTATTATTAAGAATTAAGGTGCTATCAAAAGTATTTACAGGTCAAAATATACTTGCTGATTTTTCTTGTGAAACAAAGTATTTTCTTATATTACAATCTAGATTTTTATGAGAAAATAATTATACAATCGTCATTTATGTCTCAGCAACATACAAATTGAACTATTTAATTAATTGATGCAAGCTTTTATCCTTGCAACAGATGATCAAGAATTTGAAGTCACAAAGGATCTACAAATTTGGAGTTAGTTGAAAAACAGTTGGAGATGTTAGCAGATGAACAAGTTGCAGTGCAAGACGTTAATTAAACCTACTTTAATTTACTTATTATATAGCTTGCAATTAGTTGAAGTGCAAGAAGTTTATTAAACCTACTTTACTTATTATCTAGGCTATTTGCTTAAAAATACTAATTACGATCTCTACATATATATTCTAGATTCTAAGTTTTCTTTTTGTAGGATTTTTAAAACCTCTTTGTTTTATGTAATTAACTACGTACCATGCTTATATATATATATATATTATCAGCCATTTATCTATATTATTGACTCTATTTTATAAGTTATGAAATTTTGTACAATTACATATGAAATAATGGTTTTAATTATCAATCACAAGGGGCAAAATGTAACTAATTTTCATTTAATAATATTTATTTTTCTAAAAATATCAATAAAAATTAACGAAAGGATTCCGGTCTCTAAAAGATCCTATAATATCTCTTTCTGAAGTTAGCTACGACTAAAATAAAAATTAACGAAGGGAAAATGTTATCGTAAAAAGAGATACAACGACCAATTTTTCTGCCGTCACTAAATATTTCTTAACGACCGGACTAGAATTTGGTCATCCACTTTTAACGTCGGAGCTACTAACGACGGGAGACGACCAATTTTTTTCCAGTCGTAAGTGACTAATAACGACTGGATTTACACTTTTAGCGACTTAATTTGCTTTCGCTAAAGACCCATTTTCTTGTAGTGGTGGGTATTGAAAAAGTTGAAAACTCCATTGATAAACTTGAGAAAGATAGAAGAACAACAAATGTGTTATAAATTTGTGAAATTAATTTAACTTTGTGATTTGGGCTTGTTGGTTTGTGTTAGTGAATCGGAAGTTGAAATTTTAAGTCAAATAAAGAAGAATTTCATTTAATTGACATGAATTTGGTGCTCAATTTGTGAAATACATGAGGATTGAAGAACATGACTATTTAATAAAAATTTAGAAATTACACCAGTTAAATATTTGAATTTTTTATTTTCTTAATATTTAATTTCTTACGTGTCATTGAAAAATGACATGAAATTACACGTATAAGATGTTGGATTACACACAGTGATTTGCTGAGAAAAATGTTTATAATATTGTGTTTTAATGAGTTTAAGAGTTTAGTCGATAAAGTGTTAAATAGGAGGGTTTAAAATACAAACGCGTACAAATATAAGGGTCCATTTGATTATTTCGCCAATAATTATCAATACAACACTTCATAAAGCATTTAAAAAGTCTCAACTTCCCTTAAGCTTGAAGCACGACTTGTCAAATTATGAAATTTTCTTTTGCAACACCTCTAAAGGTCCCAAGTCTAGCCAAATGTGTAATTTATATGAATATACAAGTACATGAATACTACAATAATAACAATATATTCAGTGAAATTTCACTAAATGAACAAATACGTAGACACTATAATAAAAGTTTGATTTAAAAATTAAGTCAAAAGGTCAACCTTAGCCTCCGAGGTCAAATTTAAAATTTATTTTAGAATTGGGTAACATATTTGGTAGAAAGCTTATAAAAAGAAATTAACTAAAATGAATTATCAATCAACCTCCAATTGGAGAATTTCATAATGATCAATTTAGCAGTTACAATATTGTGATCCATCTTAGAAAATTGTGAACCACACCTCACAATTACAAACAATACAATGTAAGTGCGACTACACTAGACATCAGACATCAACAACCACCGAACTTCAACCAAAACTCAAAATTGACATTCAAAATTTATCTAGAAACTCCCAAGCACAATTAAATATGCAAATCAATCACGAAACATGGTTCAGACTTGTTAAAATAATTATCAAATCACCTATCTGAAGTCGTCTTGGTCAAATATTGTTTCTGGTCAAATTTGACTTTCTAAAGGTTAAAATTTCAATCAATAATTCTAAACACTCACGAACATTTTGAAACCGTGCAAATCACCCAACGAAGTAAAAAATTATCCTTCATACATAACAGAGTTGCCAAAACTTGAATCCAACCCCAGCACAACCTACAATGTTAACTTTGATCAAAATTTTCATTTCCTAACTTTCAAACTACAATTTTTTTTAATGAATTGTTTTTGCATATTTAGCTACCTCATTTTGTATTTCATTGTTTTCATTATTAATAAAATATATCAATATAATCGTAATTATATTTGCAAAGATTGTGAGGCATAAACCCTTTGGCCTACATTATGACCAGGGCAAAATTGCCAAATTTGAATTTGAATTATCTTTAAAATTCAAACTACTTTATCTTTAAAATAAATTTTTAAGTGAATTTTGAATAAGACTATACGTCAATCGAATTAGTATATAAATACTTCCGATGGATATCTACATGTTTGATAAATAATGAAAGTGTTTATAAGTTAAAATCAACCAATAAAAAACATAAATTGGTCCATTTTATGATTTTCAGCTTATACACATTTTTTATTTAACCAAACCTTTACTTTTGAATTCCTAATATATATCTTTTGTAATCTTCACCAAAACAAAACTTTTACCTATCCCACTTTTTCATTTTCACAATTAGCCATTTTCTATGTAAAAAATAATATAGAATTATATATATATAATATTTCAGCTAGTTTAACAGAACAAAATGCTTATTAATAAACACCTTTTTATCAAATACAGTAATTATGTTTTCATTAATTTTATCACTTTATCAAAATAAATTACTGATTATTTATAAAAATCAATTTCAATACCTAACAATAATTTTAAACCATTGATATTAATCATCTACTTTTAATCAATCAATCCAAACGAGCTTAAGATCTTGTACTCCTCTTTGTCATTTTGTAATGAATTGTTTTTGCATATTTAGCAGCCTCATTTTGTATTTCATTATTTTCATCATTAATAAATTAATATACCAATATAATCGTAATTATATTTGCAAAGATTGTGACGCATAAATGAATTATTTGGCCTACATTATGACCAGGACAAAATTGCCAAATTTGAATTTGAATTATGTTTTACCAATCAATAAAAGGTTAAGGCATGTTCTGAAAGCAACTAATTAGCAATTATATGTTGCTTTGTACTCTATTCTTTATCAAAAGGTCTTTACTTAAGAATGGGGGACCATTTGGATTTGATTTGAGGATTGCAAAAGGTCCATTATATTGTTTATTAGTATAAATCTCAAAAGAAAATACATGTGACTTGTAAAAATGTTTAGAAAATTTCAACAAGGAAAAAAAGATAGAGAGAGGGAAGTTAATTAATTTTTTCATGATTATGGCACATTATTCTATTCACACACACACAAAAAAGATATCATTTTTTTTTCTTCACAAATCATGTAATCTTGTTATTTGATTGATTAAAAAGGATTATAAAATAATGAATTATATTTCTTAGGAACAAGTGATAAAACATCAAATTCAATTTCGAGTAGTAATAACAATAACATAATCAGTGTAATCTCACATATGAAGTTTGAAAAGGGTAGAATGTATTCAAATTTTATCCCTACCTCATAGAAATAGAGAAATTGGACTTTCACTACTCTATTCCAAGTGGCAAAACATCAATTCGATTCCAAGTGGTAATGACAATAACATAATCTATATATTTCCTAAAGACTCTAGACTCCCGACTCTCTATTCTTTTTTTTAAGAAACATAATTCATTGATTAAATAATGTGTGTGCAATTATTTTTTTGTTCTAAGATATCTCTAGCTATTAGTGACGTATTTCTCGAACTCACATGATTTGAACTTTTAAAGGATTTGTGGATCTTCTTGAAGTATTTGATTATCAAGAAATGTCTGACATATCTATCTTGATCTCTTTATGAATATCCTAAGAGTTTATGAGATATTCGAGATCTTGACTCAGTATTCCAAGTAGCATTTTATCATTTTAGTAGTAATTGTTAACATTTTCATTAATTTGAATTTCTTATTTTGTAGAAGCAGATGAATGAATTAAACCCCAAGTGGTCCTAAATACTAGTTGGAGTATTTAAATTAATGAGATATCAACACAGCAGGAAATGGCAGAAATTCATAAAGATAGTGCACAGGTCGCTCTGATCATTGGGAATTTGGGTACGTAAATTTCGTTATCATATTTAATTATATACTCCCTAGACATGCAAATACCAAAATCCTACTTGGAAAATTACAAACCTCACAATTAAATTATATTTTCTTTTTAAAAAAAAAAACAAAAATCATCTTTTTTTTTCTTGTGTTGTCATAATAAACCCAAAAAAAAAAACATATATGAATATTAGTAATTAATACTCATATAACCAAACTCATTAAAACAAAAACAAAAAAAGCCTAAATCTCCTTCTTCTTTTTTCTCCCCTAACAATGTCATAATACCTAATAATAATAATAAAAATAAGAGAAAATTGGCAACAACAAAAAAAATGTACAAGGTGTGTATACACTAGCTAGATTTTGATGATGATAAATCCCCACAAAAATCTTGATCTTCTTTTTCTTTTTGTTTCTTCATTTGTAGGATCAAAAAACCTTCTTTTTGGTACCAACACTTTTAAATTTTTTTTGGTGTGTGTGGGGAGATTTGGTTAATCAAAAATATTTTTCATTGAAAATATTGATGAATATGTTCAGCAATTTTCTTTGCATCTATTGAAGCACCAAGCAAGCCACGTTTGGTGAACCCCACTGCATAAAGTCCACACTCTCCTTTCCACCCATTGGGAAATGGCCTTTTTGGTAGACCATCTTTCTCTGAAAACATCTCTTTTTCCTGCAAACCAAACAAAACCTAATATTAAACTTATATACTTTTTTTCGTTTTTCTCAATCATAATTTGAACATATCCTTAGGAAACAATTAACTAAGTTAGCGTTCAACCATAGATGCTGAATCAGATATTGACAAATATCTGTTTGGTCATAGATTTTGTCAGATTTTGAAAATTTGTCTACAAAATTCGACTCATATTATACATAGTTGTGGTTTTCTATTTTCTCAATCAAATTCATTGAACACGTCCTTAGGAAACAAGTAACTAAGTTAGTGTTCTGTTGTAGATTCTGAATCAAATTTTGAAAATTTGTCTCCAAACATTTGTTTGATCATAGATTTTGGATCAGATTTTGAAATTTTGTCAATAAATTCGACTCATAAAACATGCATGTCCAAATACAACTTCAAGTCTCAAAAATCACTAGTTCAAAAACTTAAGTTTTCAAATTTCAACTTCAGAATCTATGGTCAGACAGAAACTAAGTAAAGGTAAAGAGAGTGGGTACCTTTAGCCACGAGGGCACATTGCTTTTGTAACCAGTTGCCAAGATTATTGCATCATATTCTTCTGTTTGCCCATTTACAAATTCCACCGTGTGATGCTTTAATAATCTCTTAATTCCAGGACATACCTATACACATAATATAACAACTAAAAATTACTCATTTATATCACAAGAAAAATTTTTACCTTAAAAATACAAAAATAAAAATTATTTTAAGTACTGCAACCTAGGGGTTTTCCACTTAGAAATGATGCTAGTAGAATCAATAAAATGTTGGGACAAATTAAGCTTGAAGAGATTTTGTCACACTGTTTATAGAATATTTGCAATGATTGAGTATGAGGAAAGGTCATAAGAATGGATCCCAACAAACATTAAAAAAGCTATTAGGTAAAAAAAAAGTGATTTGATACCTAGTCCATTTATGATATTTTATTTTTTTATAGCGTACCTTAATGTCACCACTTTTAATTTTAGCAAGCGTTCCAACGTCAAGCACAGGAGTCTTCCCAGACAAGTTTTTTAGCTCGAGGGGTCCGATTTCAGGTCGATCTAACCCGAGTCGAGACGTGTCACCGAGAAATAACCTTGAAGTAATCAACAAAAATCGATCGACAAGTCGAATAGGTAACCACTTTAGTAACCACATGGATAGCCCAAAAGTTGATTTTCCCAGCATCTCTCTTGGTAAGACATGTACCTAAAATAAAAAAAAATAAAAAAAATGAAAGTCAAAATTAATTTGTTATAATAAAGTTAATAAATAAAATTGATGAGAAATTCAAGTTGCTAATTGCTTAGTGCCCATTGCCATTCTGGATGAATGGCCAATATCTGGACTTTTCACTTTAGGTTGCTAAAAAAACTTGTTGGAATCAATTATTATAAATTATTAATGATTAATGAAAACAAAAATTGTCCATGCCTCCACCAAATATTGCGCATGCTTGACAATTCCAAGAAAGTGAAAAATACTCAACAAAATCTTTTAATTAGCTTAAATTTAAAACTTTACAAATCAATTTTGTTGGAACTTGAAGTCACTTCCAACTTTTTAACTTTCAGCACATGAGAATTGTCTTCTTTTTTAATTAAAAAAAATTAGATAGAAAAAAATAAATAAATTCTAAGAATCTTAATAACTCGTTTGGTTGGCTATCTGAGGGTTCGATTCCTCCACATTGTAATTCCCCTTCCCCTACCCCAAAAAAAAAGAAAAACTAGGGTTTCTTAGTGTTTCCACATAAATAGGAAATTTTTCAGGAAACACAAGATTAATAAAACTACTTAAAACATATAGAAATTACCCCTAGACCTTTTTCCTTATGTCTCTCTAAATTTTCAAAAAAAATTAAAAAGTTTACCTTTTTTTCTCAAATGAACTGACATAAAGTTAAGAAATGAAATAGCATGTGTTCCCCTTATTTTGTTGAGACAAAAAAACATAAAAACAAAAGTTTGTAATCAAAATGTCCCAAGAAAAGTTTTTTGTTATTAAACCAAAAGATTAAAGGGATTTATGTTGCTCAAACTGTTCAAAAAAGCCAGCATAAAAAGTGAAGAGTCGGTGTAACTTAAGATAGAGATTATGAGTGTGTTCTTACAGTATCTCTTACGACTAGTGAAGGGGCTGCATCATGATTACACAGATCCAAACACACCTCCATTCCTGAATTTCCACATCCAACAACCAACACTTTTTTCCTTGTAAAAATTTCACCACTTTTATACAAACTTGTATGCATTATAGTACCACTAAATTCGTCCATTCCTTCAATATCAGGTACCACAGCCTCCGCATTCTCCCCAGTTGCCACAATCAACCACCTTGTAACATACTCAGTAGTAATAGTAGCATGTGATGTTGCTGTATCCGTCCTGATTATCCAGAGTCCAAGATTCCGGTCATAATTAGCAGATATGACCGTTTGATTGAATACAGGACGGATGTTAAAAGTCATGGCGTATAACTCCAAATATTTAATGAACTGTTGCTTGGTAGGATAAGTAGGGAAATCATGAGGGAATGACATGAGTGGAAGTTCACAGAATTGTTTAGGCAAATGAAGGCTAAGACGATTATACGTCTTGCGTTTCCATAAAGAAGCTATACAATTACATCTCTCTAATACTAAACTTTGAACACCTTTTGCTGTTAAACATGCTGCAGCTGCTAATCCTGATGGTCCTGCACCAACGATTACTGGTCCGTTCACGAATACACACCTCTTTGTATTTGTATTCATTTTGTTGAAATAAGGATCATGACATATTTTGCCTTGTATTTCTTTCAAATAATCCATCAAGGGTATTTTGAATCAGCAACTTTTGTATCCCCTTTTATCTATTTCAAGAATTCTGGGAGATAAGGTAAACACCTAAAATTCAGGAAACTCATTGGTCAAGGGAGTTTGAGAGCTAAAAACACTTGAAAAAAAAGACTAAGTCACAAAGTATTATCCAAAACAAATAGGAGTGTGATAAGCCCCTAAAGAAGTGGAGAGATATACTACTTCTTATCCAATTTTTTTCAGATTCAATCTATAATTAACTTATACAATATTGTTTCAATCAAATAGACAAGATTTGGAATTTGGGGGGTGTAGAAGGGTATGTAGATAGTATAGATATATATATAGATGTGGTGTTATATGTGTCTACACATTTCCTTTTGTTCATTAGGAAGGAGAAGGAAGGGAGAAGATGATCAATAAATGAATGAATTGAATAGAATTCACTCTATATATACCGGACACAATGAAAGTTTGAGCAAGTATTAATGGAAGTGGGACACATAGATATATATAGTGTATGTGTGTGTCTCGTTATATACTTGGTGTGTGTGGAGATTAATAACAACATTAGTCAAGTCAATTTATTTGTAATTTTTTATTCTCATATATATGTATTGAGGTCTCAATTAATTCAGACATATGTCGCATAACATCTATAACATTTTTTTTATACCTATGACTCAGATTCAAGACTCTAGCTAAAGATAAAGAAATTTTATTTATATCGTACCTACGTCACATATATAAAGTAGCTAAAAATAAAGAATCAAAATTCTTGATGGTGATCTATTTGAATTGTGAATTTGGCTAAGCAAGAGATGACAAGAAAAAAGCTTGAGAATAATTAAAAGTTTTGTCCAATATTATACACGTCACTATATGTGTCATACTAGAGAGATATGAGGGCTTATTGGATGTTTGATTTATACTTAAATCCTTGAGGGAGTTGGTCTCTTTAGCAAAATCTTATAACAATCTTGATTTTTGAATGAGTTAAAAAGTTATTGGGTTCTCTATTTTGTTTATTAATTAATATAAAGTATATATTCATTAGTAGTTCATTTTTTTATTATATATTTAATAGAACATGTAGTTTGGTAAGATTTTGAATTGTTAGAAGAGGTAGTTATGGTTGGCATTGGGTTGGACTGTGCCTCATTGGGCCGGGTGGAACAAGAGAAGTAGATTCCACTTAAAAGTTAAAACCAATATTACTAAAATATACCCTAGACCTAAAGGCACTACATCTATATCTCTAATGGAAATATTGGTTAAAAAGAAAATGGAATACTCCTAACTTTCTTTATTATATTTGTTTTTTTTTTTTTGAAATTGAAATAATGATGTGATAGGATTGAATTAGTCTCTATAATGGATATCCATGTCTAAAATTAAAACTAAACCCTCCTAATTTTTCTCAATTATGAAACACATTAAATTTGAAATAAAGTTCCTAAATTTTCAACTTTCATGAACTTTAGTTCAAACACAATTAAGCTGGTTCAGACATCACAGTCATGTATAAAAGATTAAAAAAAAAACTTCAATTACTACGTACTTAAGGGTGTGGTTTATTGGTCAATGAAGTGGTTGAGAGTCCTGAGGTCTTAGATTTAAATTTCAGTGGAGACAGAAAATATTATATTCTTCTCATATGTCCTAACCTTAGTGGATAGAGTTACTGTCTGATACATGTTGGCGATGAGAGGTTACTCCTTAATTAGCGGACTGAATTACCTGGTACCTGTTGTTAATATGAGATGGCAGGTATCCTGTGGAATTTGTTGAAGCGTACGAACGTTGATCCAGCACTGTCATTAAAAAAAATCCTAACTTTCAAAATACCATTTTACATTTTTAAGATCAAATACTTTTCTTATTGACTTCAATCAAATAACATTATCCAAGTATTCCTACCTAATTACGTATGATTCATTATAAAGTTTCTAGAACTAAAATTCACAACTTGCTACAAATTTTGAGTTTCACATGATAAAGTGACAAGAAATTAGATTTGATGAGACATTGGAGATTATTAGTGTCGACTATAATATGGTGGGTCATATATATTTGTCCTAAGAGGGACAAGCTCCATTAGTCGTAGTAGCACTACTCAACTTTGGAGGTGAAGTGAAGTTTTGATTTTACAAAAGTAATTTTACTATTACTAACTATACTATATAGTAGTAAAAATATGAAACTAATTATGGGGTGACAAGATTAATGACAAATGTAACGGCCAGGGTACGTACTATTTGTGTTTAAGGATTTGACAATGTTGGTGTGACACTTCCAAGTTCTAGCCACACAATAATATTGTTAATCTTCCCAAGACAGAGAAGAAAATAATAGTTGCACATTTAATTAATGAGCTTATGTTAGGTGTGGGTGCGTTGACATTGAAAGTCGATGAAATTAGTGAATACTTTAAAAAGGAGGAAAGTTAATATTACAAAATGGATGGGGTAAAAGGATAGAGATATAATTAGCCATATGAATTACAAATTTATGATATTATGAAATGGATAAAAATAGAAATTAGATGGAAAGTATTGTTGAACCATGACTTGTGGATATGATTATAGAGCTTAAGTGAGTAATTGGGATAGGTTCATTGCATTATATATGTCTTGTTTGGGGAAAAAAAAAACAATCAATATTATTAGTGCTTATACGCCATAAATAGAATTAGATGCAGAAGTTAAAGACTAATTTTTGAGAGAATATTCTTTCAAAAATTAGTCTTTAACTTTTTTAGTCCTGTCCAATTTTAACATATATATATATATGAGTTGCTTAGCATGGATATGTTGAGAAAATACAAAAGGAAAACATTATAAGAAGAGGATTTTTTACATTTATGTTTCCTATAAAATGCATAACACGATTGTCATGAAAGGTTTTCCTTTATTTTAAAAGTGATAACACATAATAAGCATGTCTAACATAAATTCATAGCAACTAAACTAATATTTTTTCTTATATCAAATACCTAAATTAAAGAAAAAGACTAGAAGATGAATAGTAATTAAAAGAGAGGTTGATACCAAGTTGCAAATCTAATACGTAATTGGTAACATCAACAAGAAGTTAGTTGAAAGTGATGTTTATATTAGGCCATTCAATATCCATAGCTAAAGTCATAGACATTAAATTGTGGTTAGTTATTATTAACTACCATCTTAGTTTAGATTTTGATTTCCTCACTTGTGGCTGTGGATGATGAAACACCATGCCTCTTTGAGTCTCAATATCTTTAGATTGTTAGCTATCTAGTTTACAAAATATGTATATATAATTAGTGTACATTTTATATAAAATATATATTTACTATACATATAATAGTATATGTATGACATATGTACTATACAGATTCAAAACTAGATTTTCAACCCCAATCCAATTTCTGACCCCGACTTTGACCCAGCCTAGGCACCGACCTTGACCCCACCCCGAAATTTAACTCCTAATCCCAACTTGGGTCTAGACTCCAAATCCCAATCAAGGGTTAGGATTGAGAGTTGTGTCCAAGGTTGGATATCGAAGCTCGAGTCGGGGTTAGGTATATAGTGAGGTTGGAAGAGAGTTTTGAAAAATATTTTTCTTACTTTATGTACAGAAACCATTTTCCTTCATTAAATTTCAGAAAATAAGTCCATTGAGAAAACAATTGAGTCAATCAAACAAGAGAAAATTGAAAAGTATTTTTTAATAAAATGTTTTTTTCATATCAAATACATCCTAGTTGAAACTTTGAAATGTGTCGTTGAAGCTTGTTAAAAAAATTGTGTTTGTACATGTATTTTACTTGTAAAAAAATTAACATTTTTGGAGTGGAAGTGAAATTCACCCAAACTTTTCAATTGTTTTTAACAAATAAAAAAAAATTGCTCCCAAAATCTATGATCAAACGAGAGCTTAATTCAGAATTTCTTGATACTGATTGGGTAGAGTAAAAGGAGAAAGCATGAGTTTCGTGACGTATGATAGATTAATGTTTACTTTCTCCGTTTTAATTGATGTGATTTAATTTGAATTGGTACGAAATTTGAGAAAAAATATGACATATTATTATATTTGTGTAGCTATAACATTTAGAAACATACTAAATCTTTAAACATGTCATAGAATTTGTATAACAATAAAAACTTTTCAATAAATAGAAAATAGAAAATGAAAAGTTAATTAGTTTCAAATATATAAAATATTTTTTTCTAACATGCCTAATAAAACATAATTGTATCGCGTAAACTGAAATGGAGAGAATACAAAATTGATGGGACACCACCATTAAAATATTGTGCTCCCATCCACTTTGAGGAAAGTGACCTTCATGAAGCTTGTCATCACTCTAATAATGTGTTAAAATTGTATTGATCTCTTTTTGCCAATTAAGGCCTCTGATGAACTCCATGGGGCAAGTTTTAAAAATCTATAAGACAAACATGAACGTACTATATGTCATTGATCATTACACACTTTATTTTGTACTAACACAAATTTTGTCCAATCCAAAACATTGAAAGTACTTGGTACTATTTCTCTCTATTGTGTCTTGCATTGTCAAGAAGCAATTTCAATGCCATAATACATATATAAAATTCAGCAAGTTTTTTGGTTCAACTATAAATTCTCTCTATTGGTGAATGGATCTTTTATTCATTTGACAAAAGATCCTAAAGACCAATGAGCAATTGCTATCTGCTAAGGCTTATATTGGCTCACCTATAGGCTATATAACTTTGCACTTGGCCATGTTTACAAGAGCCACAGTGTAAATCATGATACATATATATGCTATTTCTTTATAACAATTGCATGATTTTGACCAAATTTTCTAAACTTAACTAGGCTACCCTAGGCAATATATTTATTGTCAAGGTCCTTTTGTTGTTCTATTTCAAATTCAGGGAAAGGGGATCAAGGTGGAATCGAACGCTAATCAATGAGGAAAATTTAGATAGTCAATCAGCTAAGCAATATTAAATTTTGGACCAAATTTTCTACAA